CAGTGGCTTTTCAGTGACCTGCTGTCACCTGTTGACTTACAGTGCTTTTATTATATGTCTTGTTTCAGTTGTCATTAACTTCCTGAAGACTTTTACTGTTGCCTAAAATTTTGTTATGCTTAGAGGTAATTTTTGTAAACTGATTTGTGTTTTGTCATGCTGGAGGTTAAAATAACAGGGTGGAAAGTACATTCTTTGTGCTTGTGGGATGTTGCAAGATAACGGGTAGCCCTGTCTTTGTATGTTAATATCTGATGCTTTCAAGCTGGATTGGCTATTAAAAAAAAAAGGGTGTTTGTGTGTTTGTGTGCAGGAGGATGTAGGTGTTACACTTAGCTGTCCAGCACTGGCTTAGGAAGCTGGGTCTCCTGGGGAGTGTCAGAGCTACAGATGCAGGCACGAGGCCCAGCATGCAAACCAAGGAGTCTTTGCAACTACTTACCCTCTAGGTCATGTGCCTGACTGGCCTGGGAGCTGGAGTCTGCCTCTTCAGCTGCTAATCCTGTTTGGGAGGCATGTGTGCCTGTGACTGAGAGGTCAGCCCTACTGACAGGAGGGCTCACCTGGGATAGACCTGGTGATCTTCGGTGTGTGTAGCAGCAGCCCAGCCTGCCTAGAGGTAGCCGAAAGGAGCTGGCCCAGGGAGCAAGTTGAGGCACTAATGCAGCTGATCTGTGTGCAGTTTCCCTCCTGCAGGACAAGGGACATGCCAGGGATGGCTCCCAGATGGTGGGTGGGTCAGGAGTGTACCACAGCTGGCATCATCTACTCGAGGACAGTGCTGGAAAACTGTATAGTGGGCTCTGGGAAACTGTATAGTGGGCTCTGCACTGTTGGAAGGGAAGTGGAACAAGGTGGGGTCCTAGGCAAAGACTCTAATAGCCTTTGAAATGGAGCCCATAACGCTGTCCTCTTCGTGAGAGAGAATGCCAGAAATTATCCCAGTTAAAACTGGCTGTGGCTGGGTGAGCTGCCTGTGGTCTTGCTGCTCTTTTTCCTGGTTTTCTGTGCCTGCCTGCAAAACTTTCCCCACTGGTTCCCCCAGGGTGGGATGGAGTAGTGTTCCTCCCATGCAGCTCCATGGTGAAATGCTGCAATTAAAGCTCTCTGTTTGGAGAGCACACTGTGTCATTTTCTGTCATCTCAGTTTTTGCTCTCAAGGGACTCCACTCATAGCTTGGCTTTGCTGTCAGTGCTTGATACCAATGCAAAAACTTCTGCTGTTTCCCAAGCAGGGGAAGGTTTTAAAGCCCAGCCTGAACAAAACAAAGGTGATGTTGCATAAGAACAGGGAATGAGTCCTTGTCCAGGACAGGTTAACAGTAAATAACGTTTTCCTGGTACCCGTTGAAGGACCCACGTGCTTTCACACTTGAGCTCCCCTGGCTGGTGTTCCACCAACCTGTTGGTTCTTTCTTGCCAGGCACTTGTACGGTGGTCTGGGCCAGCTGACGGACGGTGTGCTGGGGCTGGATGACTTCACACAGAGCCACCAGTACCGTGTGTGGCCAGGCTACGACTACGTTGGCTGGAAGAACGAGAGCTTCAGCACGGGCTCTGTTGAAATGGAGTTCCAGTTTGACCGACCGCGCAACTTCACCTCCATGAAGGTAGTCAGCGTTGTCCCTCTCCAGCAGCCTGGGACAGACTTTGGGTCTGGGTGTTTCCAGGTTAACCTTATAGGTCCTCTTCCCAAACCAGGAGGATGTAACGTGCCCAACAGCAGAGCCCTCCAAAGGCAGGATTTTAGCAGGAGATTTCATAGAATCATAGAATCACAGACTGGTTAGGGGTGGAAGGGACCTTAAAGACCATCCAGTTCCAACCCCCCTGCCATGGGCAGGGACACTTTCCACTAGACCAGGTTGCTCCAAGCCTCATCCAGCCTGGCCTTGGACACTCCCAGGGATGGGGCATCCACAGCTTCTCTGGGCAACCTGTCCCAGTGCCTTCCCACCCTCTCTGGGAAGAATTTCTTCCTGATATCTAACCTACTTGATTTCTCAAGTTTGACAGTGTAGAAAGGTGAAGTAGGGGAACACTTGTCTTTCCAGAGCTCAGACACACTCCTTTCCGTATTTGGCGTAGAGAAGTAAAAAGCAGACACCTGAAGCAGTGGTTAGGCAGTTCTTGTTGGCAACTGGGATGGATTTAGGATGTAGGCTGCTTGCTGTATAGGGCCTTCCTCACCCTTGAAGTAAAGGAATGTGGTTTTGCTTCCATTTTGACCAAAAACGACTTTGGATGCCTCAACCTATGCTTGTGCTGTGGGAAATTACTTAAACACAGAGGAAAAGGATGAGTTGAACTTTGAGTCAGTAGTAAACAGCAGAATCTTTTAAAAAGGATTGGTGGCTTTTCTTGTAGAGATTTCAAATGAAGGAGAACCCACCACATCCTTAAGTAAATTGTTTTGGTGGTTACTTACCCTAGTTTTATTTTGTCTATTTTTAACTTGCAACTGTTGGCTCTTAGCCTGCATTTGCTGGCAGAAGTGAGAGTCCTGCCTTCTCAGAAGTTTTCCTGCTTCTACACTGTGATTAAACCACTCTCTTAATCAGTAGACTAAGTTGGCTGAACTTCTCACTGCCTTCCCTGTGAGATCCAGGATTGGTTTTGTAGCTATCTTCCAATCCAGGACTCTTTTGGAGGTGTAAAAACTGGCACTTAGAGGTATAGAAACTGGAACTGGATGCAGGCTTTCCATCAAACTGCCTAAAAGAATGATACCAATTTCCTGCTTTTGGACAATTCTTTGATCACAAGATTCATAAACATTAGTCCTCCCAGCCAATGGATAGGGAGCCAGTGTTCATTAAGACTTTGGGATCATGCTGAAATTCAGCTCAAAGTTATTAGTGTCCAGGAGAAAATCCAGTGTAGAAAGCATCGTTTACATTTTGTTCTGGAGTTTACTACCCTGAAGTGAGTCAGTTGGCAGAACATGTTCAGGTCAGGCTATTTGACGAAATGTTGATTTTTCCCCACCCCCATATAATTTATTTTATTGCTGGTGATTCTTTTGTCGTCTTCAGATCACAGAGGTAGCAAATAACCTTAAGCTAAGAATACATTCAATGGAAGAACACCTACGGAAGAGTGATTTGCGCCTTAAATTTAAGATTTATACTTGAAATTTTTTAATCAAATTAATACAATTCATGAGTTCATACTACGCTAATTGGAGTCAGATGTTATAATGAGTAAACCAAATGCCTTACAAAAAAATCTGTCAGGTAAACACAGTCATCCTGAGTAATCAAACACACAAGCTATCCTGCTCAAACAAACAAAAAATAGCTACTTCGTGTTTCATTATAAAGCTGTATTGATTAGCATAAATTATTCTTTGTTCTTTATGGAATGTTGCCTGTTTCAGCTTTGCATTTATTTTATGCAGGATTTGTAAATACTTTTTTGTATCTCCATACCTGTTAGCTTTATACCAGTTTTCTGAGCTTCCCCAGTATCAAAGTATTAAAAATAAGTGTTAGCAAATAGTGAACTGCACTGCAGATTACCTAGGCTTGCCTGCTATAAAATTGGACATTAGTAGGTCATGTTTGGAATAGAAGGGGTCTCTGTACCAGTCCAAGTTGTGAACATGTCCAACTCCTGTCAAAATAAGGCACAAATTATATATTGGAGGTGTCAGGCTTTCCTGCCTTGTTATGGATGGCTATATCGCCTTATTGAATAATGTCTAAGCTTCATCTGTTCCTAATTATATGCAAATACCCCTCTTTTGTCTTTTTACTGCTCATCAGGCCTGCTGTCCTCATTACTGCTTCACCGCTATTCACTGTGAACCCTTGCAGAGGCCAAGTAATTAATAGGGTTCAAAGCTGCACTTATTTTGGCAACTGTTGTTGCCTCAGTTGCTAATATTCCACAGTCGTTACGAAATAATTTCTAGAGTCACTAGGGAAGGTCGGACCACCACATCTATGGAAATCATAGAACCACAGAATGGTTTGGGTTGGAAGGGACCTTAAATATCACCCAGTCCCACCCCTGCCATGGGCAGGGACACCTTCCACTAGACCAGGTTGCTCCAAGCCTCATCCAGCCTGGCCTTGGACACTTCCAGGGATGGGGCATCCACAGCTTCTCTGGGCAACCTGTCGCAGGGCCTTCCCAACCTCTCTGGGAAGAACTTCTTCCTGATATCTAATCTACATCTCCCCACTTTCAATTTAAAACCGTTACCCCTTGTCCTGTCACTACAAGGCTTTATAAAAAGTGTTGCTCCCTCTGTCTGTGTGTGTGGTGCCCCACCTCCCCCCAGCTTCCTTGTAGCCCCTTCAGGCACTGGAAGGTGCTATAAGGTCTCCCCGGAGCCTCCTCTTCTCCAGGCTGAACACCCCCAACTCTCCCAGCCTGTCCCCATAGCAGAGGGGCTCCAGCCCCTGGAGCATCTCCGTGGCCTCTTCTGGACTCACTCCAACCAGTCTATATCCTTGCGATGCTGAGGGCCCCAGAGCTGGATGCAGAACTGCAGGTGGGGAGTAGACTGAGAGATACCAAAGGCTGTAGGGGTCACTTTATTCCTTTGGGTTCCTCGTCACAGTACCAGGGTACTGTGGTCCAGATCTTCAGGACTACATGGCAGAACTTAATGTCACCTTTGCTTGAAAAGATGCAGGGTGAGATTTACATTGAAGAAACAGTGAAACAGCATAAAGGATCCTCACAAGCCTTGTTCTCCTTTGTGATGCCAGCTTCCTTGGAAGTACTGAAGGCCTGGGAGAGTTCCAAGTCTTTGGTGTTGATGTGCCTGCTGTGCCACAACCCAGGAAGATGGCGATGTCACTTTTATGCTGGACCCTTCTGGTTTGGGTACAGACCAAAAGCAGGAAGGGAGAAAGTTGCTGCCAGCTCTTGGGAGGGCAAAACACACCTCCCACATTTGGAGGTGCCAAGTCAGCCTGAAAGCAGCTAGTGAACCGCTTAGTGTGAAAGAAAGTGCAGAGCCATAACTCCGGTATGAGAGAGGGCGCCTTTGTTTTGGCGAGATGTCAGCTTGGCAGCATAGTGATGGCAGTTAAATTCCAGCATCGTTAGCTAAACCAGCAGTGCCACTGCAGCAGGGACAGCCTGATGATGAGCCAGCAGGAGAGGGCGATGGATGCAGGCTTACATGGTGGTTTTCTTAGATCCTCAGTTGTCTTCAAGGTGCAACCGCAGCAGAAGAGCTGCTGTATGTTGAGGTAATATCTTTTTGAGCTTGTACTGTTTTTTTGGAAGAGATTAGCTTAGACTGTAGGTGCTGAAGGCTTTCTAAAAGAGACTAAAGCCCGGTGGGGTTTTTCTTTCCTCTCAGGATTCCTTAAGGATCTCCTTAAGGAGAATTGGTCTGTGAAGCTTTAGGTTAGTACAGGCTTTGTTTGATTTATTTCTATGTGGGCCTTTTGAAGAGCCTGTCAAAAGTTGACCATTAATGTAGCTTTTGCATGTAAAATTGATTTCAGAATCACTTTTTGCACAAATATTTTCATTGCCCACCACGAGTGGATGAAGCAATGCTGGAACAAGTCGCTCATTCTGGGGTAGCAGTATTAGTATGTAGAAAAATCTTCATGAACAGAAAATCCCTGAGGCTTGCTTTAGGTTTTAGTAAATCCTGTCCGATTGATCTGTTCTCTTCCTAGGTGCATTGCAACAACATGTTTTCCAAGGGGGTGAAGATCTTCCAGAAGGTGGAGTGTCTGTTCAAACCACGCCTGATTGCAGACTGGGAGTCTGAACCTGTTGGGGTGGCAACTGTTTTAGATGACAAAAACCCCAGTGCTAGGTTTGTGACTGTCCCCCTCAATCAGCGCGTAGGTAAAGCCATACTTTGCCGCTTCTACTTTGCTGACACCTGGATGATGATGAGTGAGATTTCCTTCCAGTCAGGTGAGTCTTCCTCTAGTCAAGCAGATCTGGCAGAGAACAGGGTAAAAGAGATGGTGTGGAGGTGCGGGACATGTGGGGTGAACGCGAGTGTAGGGCACTGTGGGGCAGCGTGATAGGAAGGAGGAGGTGGTAGAAGCACTGAGAGTGTTGGAAGGACAATGCCAGGGTAGATAGGTCCAGTCTACAGTGGATTCTGTTCATGCTGATACTGCTGCACATGTGCAAAAGCACGACTTGGGCAACCAGAAAGTGGACTATAGAGTGTTTCTTCTTTTTGAGACAGTTGCCAGTTGCTTATGGGGTTGTTTTTCACTTCTCTTACCAAGTATCTTGTTATGAATAATTTAAGTATATCTACAGATGGTGATCAAGTTAGTAGATTATGAAAAATAAGAGGCTGACTTCTTTTTCCTCAAGTCTTAACTGTGACAAAGAGGTCAGTGCTGTGAGTTGCTTTAAAAGGCTCTAGAAGGGAATGGACAGGAGTCCTGGAGAAAGCCTCCAGCTCTGACAGTGAAATGACCTGGCTATAGCTTCCTACTTGGAAGGTCCTTGATCAGTCATCCCTGGGGAAGGAGCGCTCTGATGGCAGCTTGCTGCTTATCTTGCTGATAGCCCCTCCTGGCTGCCCTGTCAAACGTGGGACTAGACAGACTCGGTCCAGCCAGGGATGGCGATTCTTATAATCATACTACGATGGAAAAAAACCCCAAAACCACCTTTTGCTCCAGTCTGCTGTGTCTGGCCAAGCTCAGGGAAACTTCCTGCACGCACGGGCGGTTTGCTGTGGCCAGGACATACCCGCTGCTCAGCGCAGTGGCTCATTCCTGCAGGTGTGCTGGGAAGTGCTGAGTGGGCAGGTATCTCTGCTCATGCTGCTTGTGACCTGCTGCGTGGGTCTCGGCCCAGTCCTGCTTGGGAAGGCAGGAGTGGTGGCTGGGATTGCACTGACCGCTGGCAGGAGCAGGGAGGCTACTGGACTGACACCTTCCCTTCCCTTCCACAGACATGGAGAGCGTGAATCCTAATTTTGTTACGGTAGCCCCAAGCACAACGGAGCTCCTGGAAACAGAGTGCAATGTTACCGAGGGGACCTGGGGTAAGGACTCGTGTCACTTAACCATGCCGAAGGCATGACTAACATCCTGGTTAATGTGGTCTCTCCCTCCATTTCTGGAGATCTAGGTATGGCCTGGTTATTGCCCTCATGCACGGGGCTGCATCTTACAGTCCTCTGAGCCTCAGCTAGTTCTTCTTTCCCCAGCCAGCTGGCTGCTCTGCTGTGGCTCCATCACAGGAATCTCTTCCAGTGCAAAGAACAGTCTTTGCTCGCAAAATTCCTCTGCGCAGTTCTTAACTGTGAGCCTGAAAATTATATTTCTGATAAAAGCAAAATGTCAACACAGCAGTGTTAATGCTCAGGAAGCTGCCTAAGATAAGAGACGTGGGAGGTTAGCCAGCACAGAACCTGTGCTTTAACTCTGGATTCATCTTCACTCCTCTTATTGCAGAAACCACATCTTCTGTAACCAGCACCTGGACAGGAGAGAAAGCAGATGACTCCAATACCTCCATCCTCGTGGGCTGCCTTGTGGCTATTATTCTTCTGCTCCTGATGATTATAATCATTATTCTTTGGAAGCAGTATGTTCAGAAAAGGTTGGAAAAGGTAATACAGTGGGGCTGTTGTACAGACACAGGTTCAATACTAAACATTAACCCTAATGAACTCAGAATTATGTGGAAAGCACAAGGTTTCCCCAGCTCCATCGAGTAGCTAAAGCTGTGTTCTCACAGCAGGGGAGGATGCCTATCCAAGATGTTACTGGAAATTGTTGTGCTTGCAGCCAATACATTACTTAATGGAGCATCGCCTCAGCAGTCTTTTCTTTTGCAGGCCCCACGTCGGATTCTGGAGGAGGATGCCACAGTTCGCCTCTCCTTCTACAGCTATACCATTGCCAACAACCAGACCCAGATCCACCAGTCCAATCCCACCTATGAGCGTGCTTTCCCACTGGATTTGGAATATCACCAGCCAGCTACACTGCTCCAAAAGCTTCCAGAGCTCTCCCAAAGTGCAGAGGATTCAGGTAGTATAATCGTCAGTCTCCAAAGTTACCCATTCATTCTTTTACTATTTCTTGCAAATTTTAAAATGCGACACTTCTGAGTGTCTAATCTTCTCTGACTCCTTGCAATACAATACAAACTCAGGGACCTAAGACAACATTCTGAAGCTTTTTAGCATGTAGCTTTGACAGATGGAGCACCAGCCCCACTAGAGATTGGTGGCCTTTTATTCTTCTCTTCGAAGATGGTGTTTATACGTTAGCCAGGTCATCTTTCAGGAGCTGGTTTTGGCACTCACAGCCATCACATGTCATTAGCCTCATCAGCCCCTTGGCAGTGCAGTCACTACCTGCAGCCCTCCGGGGCTGTCCAGACCGGCTGGTAAAGACTTGGAGCACTTTTTCCTGCAGCAAGGGCTCTTTTGAAATTCCCACAGAGAAAGCAGAGGGAAATGTAGCAGAGTTGTCAGTGGTTCCCTGGCTTCCAGCCCCTGGGGGGCTTTTGGATGAACACAGAAGGGAACATTTCCAACGGCGTTTTGTACTTGGTGATGGCGGTGCCGATTAGTGGATGGAAGGGCAGTGCTGCATTCCTCAAGCACTGACAAGTTGCTAAGATCCAGCCCCGTACTGCGCAGGGAGACTGGATTGGATTGAGTCAGGATGTGAATTTGAAGCAGAACAAAAATTCTGTGTAATACTGGCTGTGCAGGGGGTTCATTATGAAGAGTTATGCCATGATACTTATGTGACTAAGCTGTAGGAGGTGGCATAGCATGCTAACAGTAGATGGAAAACAGAGACCCTGGTCAGTTCTTGCTCTGGATTTGCTTCTGCAACGAGTTTGACATTATTGCAAACATCATCCCTGCATCAGGTAAGGGGAACAGAACATATTTAGAATGAATCAGAAACAGGAAATCGCTGTAGACTCACATCTCCCTGTCTGGGCAAGAACTCATAACTGGATAGACAGGCAGCTACTGAACATGAATTCACTGGCACCTCAGGTGTTGTGGTGTCTGCGGAAGCGTGACTTGTTCAGGTTGAAGCCCTAGTTAAACCAAAGGAGAGTCTTCCATCTGGGCGTACCTTGGAACGAGGCGGTAGGCGTGCAGCTCGGCTGAATTCCCAGCGGTCTGCAGGACTGAGAAGTGGGAGCCAGGCCGTGCTGGTTTTAAGGGAGTGAGCCTGTCTGACCCCACCTGTCTGTGGTTTCCCCTTAGTGTGCAGTGGGGACTACGCCGAGCCCGACCTCACCAAGTCCACTCCTCACCAAGGCTTTCAGAACAACGTTCCCCACTATGCCGAGACCGATATCGTCCACCTGCAAGGTGTGACCGGCAACAACATGTACGCAGTCCCCGCCCTCACTGTCGATTCGCTTACCAAGAAGGACATCTCGGTGGGTGAATTCCCACGGCAGCAGCTACGACTCAAGGAGAAGCTGGGAGAAGGACAGTTTGGAGAGGTAAAGCCGTTCTCTTCCACTCTTCCTCCAGCAGAAAGGAGAAGCCTGGCAGAATGAAACTTCTAGGCGCCTCTCTGGCACTGCTTCATATTTGGGGGCTGAGGGACCTGGATACCCATAGTTTATTTAATACGTGTCTTTGTTGGGGAAAGCTGATGATGGGCTTCAGAGAGCCCCGTTCTGCACCTCTGAGGCTGCTGCTTCCTACCACATAAGTCTTTTCTCAACAGATGAGCTTTGTGAACCGTTTTGGTTTGCCGTCTGTATCCCCATGTATGACCCTATACAAAAGGCCTGGGGACGTGAGTTCACACTGGTTGTCTCCCATGGACATCTCAAACGTGATGGCTGTCACCGCCCTTCGGGCATGCGAGTGTGAAAACTGGCAGTGACTCCAGCCAAGGCAGGTTGATCCTAGCTGTAAGAACAGCTCTCCCACTGACAGCGGAGGTTCTGGTGGAGCTCTGCACGCTGACCCAGGCCAAGGCAGGCATTTCCCAGGCGCTGCGGTGCCCTTGCCTTCTCTAGCATTGCTGCTTGCTCAATCCCCAGTTTGTGTCAGAAGCCTCAGGCAGCATGATACATGCATCTGTCACCTGCTAAGCTTTCTCTTGACTCCTTGAGCTCCTTCCAAGCTGTGAATGGTTTCACCTCACCTTTTCTTCTCTCCCTGCTTCGTTTCCACACTATCCCTAGGTCCATACTGAGCAGGTCTTCCCCTCTCCTGCTCCCACTCTTCCGTTGTCTCTCTTTCTTCCCATCTTTTGTTAAATTCTTAGCCTTAAATTCTACCTGTCTGCTACATCTTGGCAAAGCACAGCCCTTACTGACTGCTTCCTCCTGTGATGTGCCCATCTTAATGGTTCCTCCCTTCTGACAGCACACCCCCCCCTACCCCAGCCCCTTCTTTCTCTTCATTCTGGGTTGCTCTGTGCATTGGGAAGGTGCTGACATCCTCAACCTCCACCTGGCCGTCAGTGTAGCCCCTTCTGCTGTTGCCTGGATCCTGCCCTGTCTTGGGCTGTTCTCCAAAAGTGATACAGGCATTTTTCCCTTATTGTTTCTAGTATCTGCTTCCTTCTAATAACTGTCAAAGATTTCTCCTCTTCCTCCTTTGTGTTGTCAGACAGCAGCAGCAGCCAGGTTCTCCCATACTCATTATCCTTGGAGACTGATTTAGGGCCTGTTCTTTTCCTCACGTCACAGGCTCTTAAAAAAAATGTGTCACATTGTGTTCTCCTGTCTCTCCTTCTCACCTCCTTAGTTTCTACCATTCTGGTCATCATCATATACTCTGCTCCACTGCTCTGGCTTAATGTGCCGTATTGTATCTAGCAACATGACTTGCTGCTTTTTCCACCATTCCACTTGGGGCTTCCTTCCCTTTCCATCTTTTTTATTCCTTGCTCCTAACCATCCACTCCCTGGACTCAGTGACACATTATTCGCTCTTGTGATACTTGTGCTTAGGACTGTGGCTCTTTGCTGTTCCTAGTCTCGTGGCTGTACTTTCACCAGATTTCATTCTCCCTGTAACTGCTGCAGCATCTTTGTGCTCTGGTTTCTGTTCTGTGGGCTTGTCCCATTTTCTGTGCTGTCTCCTTTTTCTCCTCAGCATGATTGTCACATGAGTTCTTGGTGCTTTCTTCATATAAAACTAGGCTCCTATTACATTCCCCTCACTGCTGCAAGCCTTTGACACATCCAGTCCACTCCCCTCCTCCAGTCCTTTTTCCTGTCCCACACACAGAGGTCTCTCTGCTTTCCTCACCCCAGCATCTCTTGCCCAGTTCTCCATTTCAGTATGCATTCAGATAACTTAGGGTGTCTTGTCACCCCTGATACAACTCTGGCAGCAATTTTATGTCATTCTTCATTTATCTGAAGAAACTTGGAATTTTGTGTACTTGTCAGAGTGTTCATCTCTGGGTGAATTCATAGGTGAGGACTTGACATCATGCACACACTCCTCATTTTTTTTTTTCCCCCCCCTCTGGAATTAGAGGATTTGGATAGTTCTCTGTAATTCCTGGATGTTCCTCAGTTAGGTTTGACTGGTGACTCGAGCCAGGCTGCTGCACAGCTCTTGCATGGCTGTGTGGTGTGCTGTACATGCCAAACCTGCTGCAGCCATGCAGCTTGCACACACGTGCACAGCAGAGCAGACAGCTCCAGGCACAGTGGCCTTCCTGAACATCTCCAGTACTTGCTGGATGAGTTGCACTGCTGCAGTACTGTGCTGCACCAGTCTGCACGCTGCAGTGAGGTCAGTGGGCTGGGGAGACATCAGCCTGCAGTCCATGTGTGTTCCTACATCATGGGCTATACAGTGTGTGTGCACATTTTATCCAGGATCTAGGGCCAACCTGCAGGCTCCTTCTGATCAGAACAGTGCTGCCTTCATTAGATCATTCACATGCTCATTTTGCCAGCAGTGACCAGCCTGGTGACCTCAGTGTGATGTTATTTTCTTCTGCTGTTCTGCCTTTGTGTGCTCTCATAGTTGCCTCTGTCTTCTGCCCCGCAGGTGCACCTTTGTGAAGCCGATGGCCTGCTGGAATTCCTGGGAGTCTCAGCCACAGAATTCACTCACCAGCCGGTTCTTGTAGCAGTGAAAATGCTGAGATCAGATGTCAACAAAACAGCCAGGTGAGCGCATCCACGGTGCCAACCATCTGGGAAGGAAAGCAAATGCCCTCCAAGCAACCGTTTCATGTAGGTTAACCCTGGTGACTCCCGTAGGTGTCACGTGTCTGCTGTGTGTTCTCCTAAGGATCAGGACATGCAGGGAGTGGGGGGTCAGAGTAGACGTGTCAAGCTGAAATGCTGTGTCAATCCTGTGGCTGGGGAAGGGGTCAGTGCCGGACACAACCACAGAACCAGCTTTCAAACCTACTGTGTGCAGAAGCGTAAATGTGTCTGAACTGAGATTTCCTTACCTACCACTCCTGCTTTCCTCAGACAAAGGGATAGCTTAGGATTCAAATCTGTGTTTTCTGCTTTCCAAGAAATGACTTCCTGAAGGAGATCAAGATCATGTCACGGCTGAAGAACCCGAATATCATCCGGCTTCTGGGGGTGTGCGTGCGCGATGACCCACTGTGTATGATAACGGAGTACATGGAAAATGGAGACCTCAATCAGTTCCTGTCGCAGAGGGAGATCTACAGCAAATTTGCCATTTCAAACAATATTCCCTGTGTCAGGTAAGAAGAGCTGCCAATCTCTGCGAGGAATCAATGATAGGGATTCTTCTGCTGCACTGTCCAGGCAGTGACCTTCCTCCAGCCCGGCCATTGCCACGGCACACGCTGACACTAGTCCCGCTTTGCGGCGGAGGTGGTTCTTGTGGACTCTGGAGGTCGATGTTCCTGTGAAGTGTCCCTGACACTGGGCTGTTCTGGTCACAGTGACCATCTTGGATGTACTGATGCGACCATCTGTTTATGTTAGTGGGCTTGCATCAAATATTAATATGGGAAGCCAGTT